GTTGCCTCTGAGGCCAGAGGTGCCAAGAGCACTGAACTTGGGGGTCTCTGGATTCTCTTCCTTTGTCACAGGTTGCATAAGTTAGGCTTTGATGGCAACTTAGAGAAAAGCTGGGGCTGAAAAACTGAGAATGGGGAAAAGACTGTAACTTTCCTAAAGAGGATGATTACTGTCTAAAGAGATTTTTGAAGTTATTGGGTGAGACTTAGCACTTTGTGTGTGTGTGTGTGTGTGTGTCTGTGTGTATACCGGGTGTTAAACCCAGGCAGTGCTGAGCTACATCCCCAGCCCTCTGTAGTTGTTTAATTTTGAGATAATCTTGATAAAATGTCCAGGCTGGGCTGGAACTTGGGAGCCCCTTGTTTCAGCACCCTGAATGCTAGGATTACAGGCATGCACCACTATGCCCAGGATCTGTAAAATATTTTTTTTTTTTTTTTTTTTTTTTTTTGGTTTTGAGGCAGGGTCTCACTGCATAGTTGAGACTGACCTGGAACTCACTATGTAGCCCAGGCTGGTCTTGAACTCACAGCGATCCTCCTGCCTCAGCCTCCCGAGTGCTGGGATTACAGGCGTGCACCACCACACCTGGCCAGATCTGTAAATAATTTTTAAAAGGTGATTACAAAATATTTAGGACCCACCAGGAACGTAAGAACTAATATAAGGGCTGTCAGTCAGTATATTAAAAAAAAATTCCAATACAGTTAAAACTTCCAGGATACTCATTCTACAAATGCTGCTTTTACTGGGTCAGACAATACACAACAGCCAATCTCAAGTTGCTTTTTGCCCTCCGAAGAACTCAGCAATTTTAAATGATCCAACCTAACATTTTATTTGAGCTTTTTGGGTTTTACCATACCTTTTTCATCCTATTGCCCACTTCGGATGCCTTTCTTTTCCTCTTCATCCAAGCCTACCCATCTTCCTCCACCCCCTCATAGCAGGGATTGAACTTGGGACCTTGCACTTTCCCAGCAGGGTGTCTATTCATCTCTAAGACAAGTTCTGAGCATACTCCTTTCAAGTAGTCTTCATATAATGTCGCTTTCTCTCTCCAAAAGGCACTGCCTCATACATTTATATATCATATATTTATTTTATATCATTTATATCATTTTATATATCATATTCTCCAATTGTCTACACCACACGTATTAGCACTTGGCAATATTTTGTTGCCTATTGTGCCACCTTCTTAATAGGTGAAAGAAATAAGGTTTTACTAAATATTTGTTTATGGATAATGAACTACTTGGAAGTTACTACTTCAATTCTTTTCCTTTTTCCTTTTTTTTTTAGTACTATGCCGAGACCCACACAGTATAGGGTCCAAAGCCAGGGAGAGCAGTGGGAGATGAAGAAAACTGATGAATAACAAGAAAGAAAGCTACATACCAAGATCAAACTTGAAAGCTGGGACCAGGTGGAACCCTGACCTTATGAGCTAATGGTCACCAGGGGTCCAGGGCTCTGTACTTACAGTGTAAGACAAACAGGAAGGGAAGGTGGGGTACGTCATGCTACGTGGCCTTTGTGGTGCACGCCTATAATCTCAGCACAAGGCAGGCTGAGGCAGGAGGATCCTCAAGAGTTTGAGGACAGCTTGGGCTACATGGTGAGTTCAAGGTCAGCCTGAACTACATAGTGAGAGCCTGTCTCAAAAAAACCCAAAATAAGTAAATAAAATTAAAAGAAAAAATATATATTTGACTCCAAGACCCAATTTAGCAGAGATACCCAATAATGAGAAAGCTAGGATAGAATCAGAATAAGGAGTCTGTCAATCGTGAGTATAGTCAAATTTTATCATGTCCCACTAAGTAATTATGATATAGGATATTTTGATATCTAATAATACAAACTGCTATTCATGCAATAGTAGCTACAAGTACTATGAGCCAGGTACTGGCTGGGCATTTTATATATTTTGAGATATACCTTATATATCTGTAAAAAGTAACTGCAATGTAGGTGATATCAAGCTCTACCCTGTTTACAATGCTGTCTCCTCCTCCCACCCTCCTTTTTTTTTTATTAAGTTTATTGGTACATTTTAGGTATACAATGCAGTCACATTCATCCTTGGGATCTTGTACCTTTACATGACGTATCTTGGTTCTTAGTTCCCACCCCTTTTTTTGAGACAGGGTTTTACTTTGTAATTCAGGCTGGGATTATAGGCATCACCATCATACCCAGCGGTCTCCTATTCTTAATTATAAAAAAATAGTACTGAGAATTTCTCCCCCCTTCACTCTTTCTTCCAGTTCAACTTTTTAGTACAAATGTGTTAGTCTGTATTAGTAGGGTAATGCTGCATTAACAAGTCGATCTTGGACTCTCCATGGTGTAGCACGGTGAGGTTTTTTTTGTCGTTGTCCTGGTAAAGTCCACTGTCTGCTGGGCAACTCATGAGTTCAGCTCTCCTCCGTGGGGTGGCTCAGGGATCCAGGCTGTCTCCACGTTGTGCCTTTCTCATCTCACTGACAACCTTTAGATGCTGTGGGCCAGAAGGGATCCATCGCTGTACTCACTTTCCCATTTGCGAGGCCCGGATACAGCCGCAAAGGAGGCTGGGAAGTGCCGAAGCGCACGAGTACTCAGTGAGGCAGTCAGTGAAGTGGTCGGTGAGGGAGGACCAGGCGTCTCAGGAGAGCCACTGTATCTGCAGGGCTGGGCAATCAGAGGTTATCTCCTTAAGGCCAACGGTACCACTTCCACTGGCCAATTAAGCCAAATGATCTGAACGTCTTTTTTGAGTCCCAGATGTTAAAGAACATACTGGGCAAAGATGAAAGAGGAAGTAAAATAGTAGTAGTAATAAACCACTTGTTAGAGTGACAGAACTTCTAGATTTTTTTTTTTTTTTTTTTTGCCATAAATGTTCATAGGATTGTTAGAAGCTGTCGTTTCTCTGGACACTCAGAAACATCCTATTCAAGGAGCCCAGAGTCAGATTCTTTCCCTGGAGTTCATGAATAGACCCATAAATGGACTTTAAGTTTGCGAAAATATTGTATGTCCACAAATGTGCACTTTTCAAGGGAAGATAGCCTTTGTGGAGATTTTCAGTGTTCATGTCATGATTTGGATTGAAAATGTCCCCCCAAAGTCTCACAATCAGAGATGGAGCCGGGCTGGAAGGGGCAGGCCAGGGGTGCACGCCTGGGAAGGGTGTGCACCCTCCCTGGCTTCTCTTTTCTCTTTTTTGCTTCCTGTCTGCCATGTGAGCAGCTTTCGTCCTCTTGGCCCCTCCACCATGCGGTTTCTGCCCTGGACCTGGCCTGCCAGGGACTAAACCTACTAAACCGTGAGCCAAACTCCTCCTTTAAATTTCAAGTATTGGGTATTTTTTCCCAGTGTTGAGAAAGTGACCGATGTAGTTCATAATGCAGAAAAGGTTAAGAATCCTTTTTCTGGGCTCGAAACAAGATTTTTGTACAGAAGAAGCAGAGATCACAGCCTGCTGGGAAGCAGGGTGCATGAAACAGAAGAAACAGCCAGGCAAGGTAGGCCTGTAATCCTCACTCAGGAGGCTGAGGCAGGAGAATTCCATGAGTTTAAGGCCAGACTGGACTACATAGTGAGTTCAAAGCCAGTCTGAGCTACATAGCAAGATCCTGTTTTAAAAAACAAACAAACAAACAACAGAACAAACATTCACAATCCTCAACACTTCTACAAATGCCCTTCCACACACTTGAACAACTGCACTTACACACAAACCTAGACATGAGAACTATTTCCTGGCTGAATTATGGTTAAATCAATTTTCTCCTATAAAATAATTTTAAATTGATGAATCTTGGCTGTTTCATGTTTCCAGATTTTATTATTTATTTATTGTTTTGTTTTGTTTTTTTGAGACGGGGTCTCACTATGTAGTCAAGACTGCCCTGGAACTCACTATGTAGCCCAGGCTGGTCTCGAACTCACAGTGGTCCTCCTGCCTCAGCCTCCTGAGTGCCGGGATTACAGGTGTGCGCCACCACGCCTGGCTTCCAGATTTTATTAAATTCATATTTCAGTCACCAGAAGAGGCATTAAAAGTGGATCCTTGGCTGTCACAGGAGATAGCCTCCTCGCCGCCACCACCCACATTGTATCTCTTTAGAATTAAAGAAAACACAAATGGACTTGACTGCTTATCTACTCCAGAAACCTTTAAAATTTAATTGAGAAGGATACCTCATTCTTACCTCTAGGACAACGGTATTAATCCTCACGTCCTTCAAAATAATAAATTGCTAATTATTTGCTGTCCATAGTTGTGTTCTGAGATAGGGTCTGGCTTTGCAGTTCAGCCTGGCCTTGAACTCACTATGCAGCCCAGGCTGGCCTTGCACTTGGGCTGATCCTCCTGCCTCAGCCTCCCAAGTGTTGGGATTACAGCATGTGCTACCACACCCAGTAATAGTGTTGTTCTGGAAATTATTCATGGCTATAATAAAATTTAAGTACTGCTGGGCTGGGGATTTAGCTCAGTGGTGCTGCTGCCTGCCTCACAAGAGCAAAGATCTTAGTTTGATCTCTGGTACAAAAAAAAAAAAAAAAAACCAAAAAAACAACTACTGCTAAATTTAAAAAGGGTGTATCCTAGAGAATGAAGGAAACTTGTATTAATTTTTTTTTTTTTTTTTTTTTTGTACCAGGGATTGAACTTAGATCCTTGCACTTGTGACACAGGCGGTGGAACCACTGAGCTAAATTCCCGGCTCAGATTTTACTCTGTGATCCATTATAATGACCAAGTTAGATAGCAAATGTCTATAAAATAATCTTATTTCTCTTTTTATAAAGATTTATGGCATCAACTCAATTCCTAGATAATCATACCTGATCGGCATAGCAACAACCTGGGAGAAATAAATACAATTTTGCTTTTGGGTGTCTCATATAATATTAATTTAATTCAAAGTTAAATCATTATCTCCTATGAAATCATGCAGTAATTCACAAAGAAATCTTAATGACTGATGAAGTTGCTGCCTATGCATTTCTAACGAAATATACTTTCAGCTGGGTGTGTTGGCCCTCGGGAGGCTGAGGCAGAAGGATCGCTGGGAGTTCCAGACCAGCCTGGGCTACACAGCGAGTTCCAGGTCAGGCTCAACTACATAGTGAGACCCTGTCTCAAAAAACAAACAAACAAAAGAAACCAACCCAGTCTGAAAACTTTCTCAGGCTTTTTCTCATCTCCTGGGCCCTGGCTCTTCTTATGTAGAAGGAGATAGAAATAATGCTTCAAAGTAAAATGCAGCCAGTTTCTAAGCTCCCGATTCTTCTTTCGGCTCGGGCAGACTCAGACTCTGACCCGCCCTCGCTGCGCGGCAGTGTGCCCGTCAGGTCTGCCACATCATTTGCCCTTTTCACTCGGCGGCTTCCTTCAGAGGCGCCACACAATCGACCTCTTCAACGTGGGAGTGGAGGAAACGTCTCCACGCCTTTTCTCTTTCATTTTCCAAAATGAGCCCTCGCTTCTGAGCTCCAAACACCCTGAGGGTGTTCCAGAGGGAGGCTGGGATGACTTTTTAAAAACTTGCCACTGTCCCCTTGCAGTTGCTCTCCGCCTGGGGTGGCCTCCCGGTCCGACCCTCATTCCCAACCACAGCTCCCACGCCAACGCAAGCCGTCATCATGAGCCTGAACTTCCGAATGAACGCTTGTGTCGGAAACCACAGAAGGCACCCACGGTGCACTCCGCCTGAGAAGACATGTTCAAATATTTGTCTCTCTGCCTGGACGCTCTCCAGGCTACAGGTGGTTCCAATTTTCAACTCGTGGAAGAAACCATACGCTAAGGAAGCAAGTAAGTGTTTCTATAGACTGCAGAAAAGAGACAGTCTTCTGCTAACTGTGAAAAGCCCAACTTGGGAAGGCCATTGACCTCTGACGTTCTTTTTGAACCCCAAAGGAAAGGATTTAGTGTTTCTACGTTGGCTACTGAAGACCACAGTAGCTTTTCTCAGAGTAGCTCTGCTAGGATCCAATTTCTTCAGTCCATCAAACTGCACTGGCTTTTAGGTCTCTTCCCAGTGTCTTATAGAGGCACATGTGAGCTGATTTCCAAGAATCTGATCCAGGTTATGTCCAAAGGACAGACCACAGCCATCAGGTCTATGACTTTAGAAATCTGCGTGTCAGCTGAGGACAGCAAAACGTCCCAATACGACTCGAGCGTATCAACTTCTGCCCTAGCACAGAGGATACACTGCTGGTACTAGGAACATGAACTCGCAGCTCTTTTTGAAATGCTGTTCTAGCGCTGCGAGGTGGCAGAGTCTGCTTCAGATTCTACCCCTCCTCTGAAATGCCTTTGCACGCCCTTGCTTCCCACTCCCCACCGTTCAACTGCCCGCTTCTCTCTGCAGTGACACAGACAGGACCCAGCACCAGTGTCCCACCCATCCCCTGACTGCCTGCTCTCTTCACCCATTTCCTCAACACTGCCTCCAGACCCTGAAAAGTTCTCATATTTTACATTCAGCACAGTATTTTTCCTTTAATTTATTTTTCTTTTGTACCAGGGATTGAACTCGGGACTTTGCACGGTACCACTGAACTACATCCCAGGTCCTTCCCTTATTTCTTTATGGTAGGTATAGCACAATCACTCACACACATTTTGTTAGGGCTGGGGATGTAGCTCAGCGGTGCAGCACCTGCCTGGCAAGCACAACGTCCTCAGTTTGATTCCTGGTACCAAAAAACAAAACAAAACAAAAACCATACACATTTTGTTAGCCTTTTTGGGTCAAAAGTGTCTCCCAGGATACAAACTAAATGAGAGGAAAATAGGGTACAGAGGTAGAACTTGGAAGGCTGAGGCAGGAGGATCACCACAGGCTCAAGGACAGCCTGGGGTACGTGGTGAGTTCAGGGCCAGCCTAAACTACACAGGGAGACACTGTCTCAAACCATCCCCTTTCCCAAAATCAAAGAAAACTAAAGTAGCGGCTTCACCATCCGCACCCTGGGTCAGGCCACCGCCATCTGATTTGGATTATTGCAGTGGCATCCTGTTGTGTATCTCTCTGCATCTGCCCTCGCCTGTACCAGTTATTCTCCATAAGAAGTCGGAGTGACCTTTGGCTCAAAATTCTCCAGTGGTTTCATTTTCACTTTCTCCCAGTTTTTATCCAACTTCCCCAAATAAAATAGCAACTTCCCTGTTCCTTGCCTGTATCAGACTCCCAATTCCTCTATTCCCTCCCTCTCCATAGCACCTATCGCCACGTGACATACTTATCTACATAACAAGAGGCAGAATGCCTTTTCCAGGTTGTAGATGGAGTCCCCTCCACGTGCCCTTCTTACAGTGCGGCGTGTCCACGACTGCCTTCGTGTGTGTGTGTGTGTGTGTGTGTGTGTGTGTGTGTGTGTGTGTGT